TGCATTGACTCCTAAGTTGCAACGGGGAGATTTGTAGATTTATGCGATGACAAACTTTTAAGAAGTGGGCTCGGCTGACAAAGTATTATACTTTCACCTTACGCCGGTCTTCTGTGAGTGAGGTCGTGGTATTTTCCCGGACGAGCTACCTATTCGTGCAACAGAAAAAACTGCCGCGTGGCCCTACTGCAGTTAAATTAAATACGAAAACGAAACTGTGTTAAATATAATATATAAAAACAACATCAACGATGTAGGTGTGTATATTGATAACACTCTGACATTTTGATATATGGATATCAACCCTCCTATCTAGTGCGTGTATCATCTACGGATGCACTGCTAGTACACATAGAGTGGGATAGCGGTCGAGTTATAGTGTTTTATAAAAACGTTGCCAAATTGGCCATTTGGTGCGATGTAACAAACCACTTAATGTAAAAAAACCGCAATATTGTCTTCTACCCAATTTTTAAAACAAATCACGTTCAATTTAATAGTCGAGAATTTAATATCAAAGAAATCAATATTGTTTGAGAAAATATAGCATGGCGCTGATTTTGTGCAAGCTCGCTTGAGTTATAAGCAAGGTGAAACCGTCATCAAATTTGTAATATTAATTTGAATTTCGGTTACAAAATCAGTCTTTTAAAATTACTAATTTTCCTTATAAACTATTTCCAGAGGATGAATGAAGTGCTTTTAGAAGCATCAGTCACATATAAATTACTGATGGTCCAGAAGGAATGGATGGAAAATTTCAAGCTTTTTTTAAATTGCGTACTAGATGATTCATAGGTTAAGTTATATCAATGAACCCGTTTGCTTATTTTTGTATTTTGCTTGTTTTGAAATATCATTTAAAGTAAAATTGGCGATGTCTCATGTGTAGTCGGCTAAAGCGATAAATAAGTATTTTGCATTCTGTCACAATATCTCACTGTAATATGCGTGAAAGTGACAGATAAGCACTTAAAATTGCAGTAAATGGTCAGCACGAGGATTGAATTTGGGTCGTTCGCGTAATACGAAGTTATAAGCCACTGCTCGGCCACGATCCACCCTTCATATTAATTGTATATAAAATTATCTCCTTATTTAGCTCCGATTTTAAGCTTATATTAGATATTAATGATAGCGTGTGACGAAAGAACTACGCTTCAAAGTGCTTTCAATAAAAGAACAAGAATTGTAGCAGAAATAATAATAATTTTTATGTTAATTACCGATTTGTGTGCTTATTGAAAATTTAAGTCAACAGTAATAATACGAATAAAAAAACCTCGAGTTGACTCATGACTGAGCTCAATGATGACTTTAAACCTGTTTAAGGCTGCTTTTGTTCCACCTTTGTTTTTGGTCATTCAAGGTGTGATATTTAGGCCGATTTTCTTTTCTCCATCTTTATGGACATATATACAAATGAATATCTGTCCTTTATAATAAATCTTTTACTATTCAGGCTGTGCTACTCTGTAAATCCTTGCCTCAGTTCATTAGAAACACCAAGGCAAGGTTTTTACTGAGCTAGCGCGCTTACCATCAAAGGCTGCGTCGCCATCCAGGTGGAATGGCAGTCAAGTGCTGGCCAGATGCAAATAAAAAAAAGTGCTGCGATGTCTCTATGCAAATTTTGCCGATTGCTAGAGTTGTCAACTTTATCCTTCATATTTATATATAAGTTTCTGTATATGTATTATATATGTAGGTATACAGCGTGTCGCTACCACCGCGACAATAAATGAACACACATATAGAGGATAACTTTTTAAAGTTGTATTAAACATTGACATTCTTTAAACATCAATATTTACCGAGTTATTAAATTTTCCAAAACAAACAATTTTAGAACACCCTTACGTATAAAACTGTAACGTAAAGTTCATTTGTAAAGGTCACAAAGCATATGAATGGGTCGAATGAATTTAAAAGAGACAAAACATACTGTTAGAAGGAGAGGTTTGTAATGCGACGCTGTAGCGTGAGTTCTATAGGATGTTACGAATTTTGTTTCTTTTTTACTTAACTAGTTTGTTTGAAAAATATTTTTTTTTAATTATGGATTTTGTTTAACGTTAATATTTTTTTATGATTATTGGCAAGTAGCGTTAGACGTGTGTTCACTTATTTTATATAATGTTCATGTAGGTATTTATAGTTTTTTTATGCGAGAAAGTTGTCAAACGAGCAGACGGTTCACCTGATGTTAAGTGAATACCGCCGCCCATGGACATCTGCCACACTCGAGGGTTACAGATGCATTGACAACCTTTTGAAAATTGGGATCCGGCTACCTCACTCACCAGACGAAACGCGAAAGTATTTGTCATACTTCCACTTTACGCTGGTCTTCTGTTAGGTCGTGGTACTTACCCGGACGGGCCTGCCCATTCGTGCAACAGCCGAGACTGCTGCGTGGCCCTACCACCGTAATGTATTTAATAATTTAAAATATACATAATTATAATGTTTATGTTTGTGTAAAGTATACTTGAATAGAATGTATCTATGCTTATTTTGTTTTGTTTTAAGGTGCTAAACAAAACTTAAATCGGTAATTGACAACTAACCCTATTTACCAGCCGACCGTAAACCGCTAAGTCCATGACGGTAATTCGAAACGCTGGCTTAGTCTCAAATAACAAAGATCATATTAATTCTATTAGATAATCCAATTTCAAAGCGGTGTAGTTTTAATTGTTTCATGCTTTTTATGTACTGTATGTAGGGTCTGTGTATGTATGTATCTAAAATAGTCTGCGTAAAGGGCTATCCCGATATTAAAATAAAAACCTGAAAGACATAAACAGAGGCACTATCGAAAATCAAAATCATTCGCAACCAAAGGAAGTGCTGCATGATTGTCTAGTAAACATTAGGTTTTGATACAAATATTCCGCCCTGTAAACCTGTAATAATTGTTAGATAGTACGTAACAGGTTTCACTTATACTCTGCTTTGGGCTTCAAACCTTCGACTTCAGGTTGTCTGTAGCTTAAAGCCTTATCGAATAACAAACTTTATTTTTAAATTTTAATAATTAATGCTAAATATCTAAACTAAAATGTCTCAAACTCTGATTATCGTCTCAGGGTAAGCATGGGTTTTGTGCATAAGAGGGGAGGATAGGCTTAACCACGATTAATAACCGGTTAGTTCCATAGGAAAATTACGAATAAAGAAATAACTTGATATTTAACGCCGCAGATATCAAACCCGTCTTGCAGTGTAATGGGTTTTTGAAAAAAGTGAAGGTCAACCTTTCTCTCTAAGTGATAACTATTAAAGACTGTGTACATTATGTTTTTGTTTTTGATAAAAGTGTTCAGATTGTGATATTTTTCTTATTGTTTTGGACGTAACTGAAAGTACAAAATAAATATTAAACGTGAACATAATGATCAAAAGTTTGGCGTTATTGAGTGTATAATATAAATAAATGAGATACGTGCATGCTGAGATACTTAAAAAATAAAATTAAATCTCAAAAAGTAGTTTTTTTATATGTTCACCTGATATTAAATGATAACCACCGCACATTGACATTTGTAACACCCGAAGGGTCTGCCCAGATGCGTTGCCATCTTTTAATAAAGTGGACACCGGCTAACTCACTCACAAGATGAAACCTAGAAATGTAACACTTTACTTCACGTCGGTTTTCTGTAAGGTAGGACCTGACCTATCGTGCATTAGGGAAGACTGTTTATTTTACCTAACTAACCCCAACCACAGTTAAGTAAAATAAATTGCGTTTTAGCAAAAATGTTTTTCACATCTGCAAAACGAATACGGGTACGCAAAGCAAGGGCTTGGAGCACACAAGTCTATGATGCTAGCAAAAAATGCAATATTGCAGTAATGCAGTCGCCTAGCACCAACTTGTATAATTAATCAGATCAGTTCAGATTTTATACATTTGTACTTAAACGATAACATTTGTTTTATGTAGTTTCGTTAGTTACATTTTAATTTATATTCTTATATATGTATGAAAAGAAAGTTAAACTATGGAAAAAAATCTTATCATTCGAGATAACTTGGTCAGAGAATTCTAGGTTTTACGGCTCGTTGGTGAGACTTGAGGTTGGTGAGCATGAACTCCGTGTCGTAATGTTTTGCAACATCGAAGTCCAAACTAAAAAGTCATTTATTAAATTTTCGTAGAATTTGGTTAAATACATTTATTTGATTTTGAATATAGTTAACAAATACAGACACATCTAGACGACGCACTTGAAAGGTTATTTTCTTTTGAAAAGTATTCATTGTGATCGAGTGCAGAGAAGTATACATATAAGACACACGTCGTAATTTTTATTTGTTTTACTATGAGGAATTGAACTTTACCGATTTTTTTTTCTATAAACAGGTAATAAGTAAACACTAAATGTATTCACGCAGTAACATTTTTATTGTACACGTCATCGTTTGAATAAAAAAGAACATTCCCTTGCATACAATTTCAGTGAAGAAAAGAATGTGCGTTTTTATTCCGGATTTGTATCTTTTTCCTCTGATACAGATTACAATTATGTTATTAAATAATTCTTAACGATGTGGATGACAGATATAAATTTAAACTATTAACTTTCCATAACGTTATAATTTTTGAAAACCAAGGTGGTGGTTTTACATCCTTATTAAAGGTGTAGAGACGTTATATCGAGTTTGTATGGTTCCCGATCTATTATTGATACACTTAAGTGACCGCATTAATTGATTTATCAATGTCAATGGTAAATTACTGTCAGAACACGTGGACGCACACACGCGCACAGCTAGGATGTCCCGGCCGCCGTTGATACAGGTTTAGTTGCGTTTTCGGAGACTTCCGATATACATCGCGTTCAGATACTCGAGAAATTTTATTATTTTATAATAATTTTATGTTAAATCACCCGTGTCCCCATTAGATTTTCTCTGTACACCTTCACTAATTTAACATAGAGTTTGATCTTACAAATTACCGGCGAAGCTTTAAGTTTGCGATTTTCAAAATGACGCCTCAGAATGGACGCAAGAACAAATCATTAGATATAGTTGTTGTTGGTGCAGGATTGGTACGTATTTATTTTTAATTAATTACTGACCTAGAATTAGTTTCCTATGTACAATTATTTACCACTGGATATTGCACCGTTTAATTATTTTAAAGAGGGGAAGCTGTTTTCATAAGAAACTGAAAAAAATATAATTAAGAGGAGTAAACACTCATAAATATATTTAGTTGAATGAAATCGATATTATTGTTGATGTGTACTTATAAATATTCTCTTTATTATGTAATTAATATTGTGTTATGTACACAATCACAAAATAAGGGAGCCAATTTCAGCGTCCACGCTGTTAATTATATAGATAACACAAGTGTAGAAAAAAGTGAAATGATACAGTAATTTGTTTTTGATCTCGTTCAAGAAAAAAGTTAAAACACGTTTAAAAATTGTTGCAACACAATTAAATTATTTGTGAAACTATGTATATTATCTACGAGTATACTAAGCAAAAAGTCAAAGTTTCTGAAGACTCTATCCTAATTATGTTTCAATCCATGTCCTGTTAGCAAAAATTCATTGCAAAGTTTAGAATTACTAACTAGATATTTCCTACCACGATTTTCTCCTAAACTTCGATAGCGGCCATCTTTAGTTGAACACAATAAATAGAAATTAGATAACAATAAAAAGCTAGTAAAAAGGTGCGTTTGAATCGTATATAAAGTCTCATTTAACTTGTCACCAAAAAGATTTTTAATTATTAGTTATTTCCGAACTGTCTACTTTATCATACATTTATAAATATCTACAGCATTCATGGTCACTAAATGGACTTATAAGTTTGAGATCCAAGTTGTGTCGTAATTAACCTAGACCTTACAGTAGACATCATCAAAATATTGAGTACAAAAATTACAAACTATGTACTTTTTTATGAAAACAATATGTGTATAGTATAGTTCGATATACACATAAAATATTATATGATCATTAATTATTTAAGTGATTAAGAATATTAATTAAATATCGTTTACAGTTACCGTTTAATTACAGTATGATTAATGAAAACGATTATTGAATTAAGAAATGTCATAAATTTTTTCAATAGTGTGGGAATAAAATAAAAAAAAAAGTGTTTGTGTAATTATTTACACGCGTTAGAAGTTGTACTTCTTAGGCGTAACAAGATAAAAATCTTTTCAAAAAATTAATCTTTCGCCTTATTCTCCGTTTGTCGAAAAAACGACACTAACACTACAAAAAAGGTATTTAATACATTGAAAGTTTTATTATAACGCATTATCTAGATAAACAAAGTTTATTTAAAAATCAGAACATAAATATCGTGAATACAGTTGTCAGCTCTCACGCAAATTCATTACCTAGATAGATGTTTAGCTAACTTCAGGGTGTCGGTTTTTCGTGACGGTGTGCGCGCGCATCCAAAAATGTACTCTCATCATTTATCCCTAACGTGCCAAAAGAAGTATAACTTCAATAAAAAAGAAATAATAATTTGTGTTATCACCATATCTTATATGTGCTAGATTGTTAATGTATGCAGTCTTCTGTATAAGTAAAATATAGTGGTTCATTCATATTTAAATTTAATCAATGGCTTAAAAAGTGTTTACCGATAATTTATGAATAAAGATGATATTGATATCAACAGGACAATGAATAACGAAAATTTTTAAATTATTTCTTTGACAGGTCGGATCGTTGGAGGCGTTATATTTAGCGAAAAGAGGCCATCAAGTCCGAATCTACGAATATCGCGAAGGTGAGTACATGCGTCGTTTTTTATTCCATCGCAATTGCAATTTATATACTATAGCTTATGATATTTTCATAAATCAGTGACATTACGATTTATTGTTTATAATTATTCAGATGACGTTTGTAAGCACGTAATTAAATATAATGATCAGGATCTATCTGGCAAAATATCATGTAATAGAGATGTTTATAATTATGTGTATAATTATGTTTATAATACAACTAAATCATAAACGAGATTTATTATAAAGATTTAAGAGTAGCAGCATTGAAAAGGTTATTTATTATGAGCATTTAATATTATTTCATTTTTATTGAGCCTGTATCAACAGAATGTATAAACATTTATCTTTTTTTCATAACATTTATCGTGTAGTTGTACAGAAGTATTGGAGCCATAAACGAAGACATACAGTCGATCGAAATTCGTCAATGGTACAATATCTTCAATATGTGACCTCTACTATTAAAATCTTAATGAGTTAACGACCATTCCATTGCTCAATTTCGATACTCGCCATACTTCCTATATTATACAGGTTGTTCTTAACTAGACACTTAAAGTATTTATTAAAGTAGAATTAGAAGTAGTAAATAGTCATGGTAAATGTAATATTAGAAATGGATTTAAATAGTAAATTATGCAGTTATAAATTATACACTTTTAATCGAGGTCAAATGTATTGTATGTGGTATGGTATTATTGTAATAAACAGATTTATTTTTATAAAAAATATAATTTGCGTTCATGTGAATCATTTTATGTAATAAAATATTTTCATTCGTCACTACATAGTATAAAACAAAGTCGCCATCTGTCTGTCACTATGTATGCTTGTATGTATCTTTAAAACTACGCAACGGATTTTGATGCGGTTTTGTTTTTACTAGATAGAGTGATTCAAGAGGAAGGTTTATATGTATAATAGATTGCACCCGTGCGATGCCGGAGTGGGTCGCTAGTTTTTAATTAAATTAAAAACGAAAAATACGTTTTATTTTACATTTATTGCTCTCATCACAAGATTGTTCGTAAATAATAATATTACATTCAAATTATTCTGGTTAGCAATAAATATTCGTTGCATATCACATCCATCAAATAATAGTAATACATGTTTTATGTACTTCAAATCATCATACATACAACCCAATTATCCCACATTTTCATTTCTTTGTATTGATTGACCACCGTTATACCTGAAATTCCAAAATATATAAACTAATTACAATATCTTCTTTGATTCACGCGTTATAAATGTAATTGTGTTATATGTATTAACGGGTCCATCAAAGAGTCATCATTGAATTCGAATTTAATTAAAACATATTTCGGTGTATCAGAATGTAAATGACATCGTCAGCATAACGAGTTGTACAGCAAGGTTGTGTTATTGAAATTATGTTTAAAGATTTTTCTTACAGCGGTAATTTTGCTGTTCTTTTTATATTACTTTTGGCGTACAGGAAAAAAACTTATGAGTGAATTTTTACGATTCATGAGCCAAACGACATGAAAAATACACCATGAACTTAGGTAATAAGTCCCTAAGTAGTAATTTATCAAACATCAATAATGTGACGAAATCTCTTTAATTAAAATAAAATGCATAAGTACACACTACACATTTTTTATAATTCCTAATTTGAACTTTAATTTAATAATGTTAATTTCATGTTTACCTATATATGTTGTCTATGCCAAAGCTGTATAATTTTTACATACGTTAGCGTACACACCACGATTTTTATTTTTTTATTTGTTAAATAGGTCGGTTTTATTTTATTATTGAGGTCAAGAATTTATCTTTTTTGTTTGTAGATATCCGTAAGACACCTAGCGTGAGGGGGAAATCAATTAATCTAGCACTATCAATGCGCGGGAGGACGGCCCTGCAAGGTGTAGGACTTGAGGAACAAATGATTCGAGATCATGGCATACCCATGATCGGAAGGTACATTCACAAAGTCGACGGCTCTACATACATTATACCGTACGATGCTAGAACTAATCAGGTAAGATTTATAACAATCAATTAAAAAAAATATATTTAATTCTAATGTAGTAAATTATTTATGAGCGAACGCTGTTCTCTCAAGTTGTAGAGCGTAGTCCAGTCGTATGTTAGCCCGAAGATGACATGCCTTTCGAGTCTTCGAAATCCATGTTCAAGCAAACAAGAATCCACGCACGCCTGGAACCTTCGAGTTCCAGAGCGGCTTCATCAAGCAACATGCAATGTTATGGAAAGATCAACAGGGTGATAGTCGCTGTCAATTCCGGTATCAATATGCCCTGCAATGTACATACATTCACCTCATTTATTCGCTGCTTAAAGTGAGAAGCGGTTCTTTAGAGTCATCTCTTGGTATACACGGCTTCTGTTTAATGGTGCGGGAAGGTCAGCAGAAAGTGGCCCGTGTAAAGCAGGGCCCGTGTCAGGCACTTTCGGTGATTTAGTATTCTTTGTTTTACCATACATTCTGTTCTTATTCCAGTGTATATATTCCGTGGGACGTAACTACTTGAACTCTCTACTATTGAAAGGTTGGTCCATATTCTGTTTATACTTTTTAATGTATGTATAGAACAGTCCGTTTTATGTTTTTTTTTAAATTAAACATCATGTAAGAGCACGAAACAACCAACATTATTTTTATGGCCACATATGATCAAAGCCTATTTTTCATTGATTGGTTAATAAATAACGTAATAGTACTCTTTAAATAAATGCTTATAATATTTTGTAATTACATTAGAGCTGCTTTGCTCAATATCGTGTTAATTAAATGCCAACGGCGTGTGACCGTATTTCATTTTAATTAAACTAAAGTAGAAAACTCTGTTTGAAAAAAATTAAAGAAATATTTTTGTTTCTTCAATTCATTCGTTAAAATATTTTGTGCGTGTAATTACAATATTAGAATCAAAATCATAAATTATATTTTTGGATTCAATGATATGATTACAGATTAGGACTAAATAGCTTTAATGAATGCTCCCATTAAAACAAAATAAGTGTATCTCATAAATATATTTAAAACAAATATGGCTTTTTTGGGTATCTCTCTCTTTTTATTAAGGTTGAAAGCTCATTGTTGTATTATTATTGCCATAAAAGTGTAATAAAACTATGTTGCAGAATCGGAGAAGTACGACAACGTTGTGAAGCATTTCAATCACAAACTGATTAACGCTGATCTGCGAAAGGGTGCCTTAACGTTTCAAAAGTAAGTGCAATATATAGTATCATAAAGTCAAAAGGCAAAATTCTTTGGCCAATGCGTGCTGCCAGATGACTTACGGACTTCTCTTACTATGTGCTGCGTCCACAATACCGTCTATAAAGTCTAAAGGCAAAAGTATTTGACCATTGCGTGCTGCCACATGACCTACCGTCTTTTCTATGGGCCTCCCAAAGAGACTCAGCGTCGCTCAGCGGCCAATGCAGAGGGCTATGCTCGAGGTTCCTCTGCGAGATCGAATTAGGGCAGGAGTTCCACAGACGAACGAAAGTTACCGACAGACAAACGGTTGCAAGCTGAAGTGGCATTGGGCAGTCACGTAGCTCGCAGAACTGACGGTAGATGGGGCAGCAAGGTTCTCGAGTGGAGACCGCGTATCGGAAAGCGCAGCGTGGGGCCAACCGCTAGGCGGAAAGAAATCAAAATCACTTACTCATCGACGTAAGAAACTTAAATTTCATCTATCGATGGTCATATTTTCTTTAATCTACCACCGTTTCGTAATGAGACGGACTGACTACCTGACTAAGGTCGCGGGTCTTCGCTGGATGTAAGCCGCTTCCAACCGAGGGAAAATCCCTGGAGGAGGCCTATATTCAGCAGTGGATGCTAACAGGCTGCAATGATGATGATTCAAAGGAAGGGAAAGCCCCTTTTTCTCATTGAAAACAGTTGTAGAATTCTGTCTTGTTTCTCTTTGCGCGTTTACTAATTCATTGTACGGTAAACGGTTGTACGGTTGTATTGTTAACTCAAGTTAACCAATGTTGTGATACATCTTTACAATAATTAAATTGTAACTCTTCATTTTGCTGGAGTATTTGGAACCTACATAACTGATAAGCAAGTTTCATATTATGAAAGCTTTAATATATTTCTAATAAAAACCTGAATCCTAAAATAACACCGATTGTATCTAGCAAGTAACATTTTCAATGAAAATACTGTGAGGTATGAAGTCTTTTTTTCGACTTGGTATGAGGTGTGTTTCAATGTTACAACTCGTTACAAAAGTTGCAACTTTTCAATGATGGCCGTGTTTTCCCTGTACATAGAACGGAGAGCGATGAGACTGTAGAAGTTAGCGCCGATTTGATAATTGGCGCGGATGGCGCATACTCGGCCGTTCGCAAAGCCATGATGAAGGAGCCTCTTTTTAATTACAGCCAGAAGTATATAGAACACGGTTACATGGAGTTGTGTATACCACCAGGTGAAGACGGCGAGGTAAGGGTCTCATATTAAACTCTCATAGATGGCGTCGTTGCTAAGATATTGTAAGTAATGGTTTCGATTCCGACACGGGTTAATTGTGTGACCCACAAGGTGGGTTGACGTCAGGCAGACATGATTGAGATGCTGTGGAAACCCCTAGGTGGGATAAGGGTAGGAGGATGATAAGTACCTCGACCTCACAGAAGACCGGCGTAAAGTGGAAGTATGACAAATACTTTCGCGTTTCGTCTGGTGAGGTAGCCGTAGCCCAATTTCCAAAAAGGTTGTCAACGTATCTGCAAACCCTCGGGTGTTGCAGATGTCTATGGGCGGTGGTATTCATTTAACATCAGGTGCACCTAGTCTGCCCGTTTGGTAACTTTTCAGATAAAAAAATTGCTTAGATACAGTTTGAATTTTTATTAACATTATTTTAGTTTCCCATTTTAAATTAAATACTAACCAATAAATCAACTAAATACTTTACAAGCAATTGTACGATTACATACTTAAGCTTATTTTAATTAAAAATTATCTTTAAAATCTACCGGTTCTTAAAAGTATCACTGAAATAAAAAGCATACCACATGAGAGAAGGACCGGCAACAAATTCTTGTCACTCCTTTTTTGTAACAGTATTTTAATACACTTTATTTATTTCTTTTTCCTATGTCATTGACGTATACGAATGTTTCATGTATTTTATCTCGAAGCATTAAGAATGATACCGTTATAAAAATGCCACTGAACCTGATGGAACTTTTGCAAAATACATGTCAATAAGTAAGGAATCCGCTGTAGAAATGATAGATTGAAATATAGGTGTAGAAATAGAGAGGAAAATAATTGATATTAAAAACTGTGGTGGTGTTAAAAGATTAACCATTGCTACGCGAGCACATTAAACAGTTAACCAAACGATACATTCAATGTATGCAATTCTAATAAATATATATATATATATATATATAATTTATGTGACAAAACTACGTTTGCCGAGTCAGCTAGTATATATATATATATATATATATATATACATATATATATTGGAAATTACATTTAGATACAAATGACTTAGTAATGAAATATGCATAATATTTTTCGATCTTACCGACGTAATAATAAGAAAATATGAACTGATGTTTTTCACAAAAGAAAGAACTTTAAAAAAAAAGGGAAAAACATAACAAAATAACAAATCGACAAAAAATTAAAAACAAAGAAAGCAATGATCTGGAATCGAAAAAAAAGTAAAAAATAAATGTGTAAATGATCGTGACGCGAACCACGGCCGCCTGTTTTGGGGCCGCCCGATTACCAACCGAGCTATTATGACATTTTCTCTTGCGGCGAAATTTACCGTCATATTCGAATTATATTTTTCATTTCCTAAAACAGGGATAAAAGGACATTTTCTAAAAATGAAACCTAGCTAGATCGATTTTTCGTATTTTTATATATATATATATATCTATATAGAGAGAGAGAGAGAGAGAGAGGAAATTTCCTTTTATCCCTGTTTTCAGGGAATGAAAAATATCATTCGAATATGACGGTAAATTTCGTGGAAAAAAAATTTCATAACACGATTTACCAAAAAAAAAAACGGCCCTCCAGATTATAGTGCTAAAGGACATTACCAATTAGTACATCGTTGCCTACGGGCGCGGCCAAAACAATATAACACGTTCGCTTCGAACGCAATACAGTCAGAAGCCATGTCATGGTCCGTGCCGAACCTCGATGAGTAGGTGACATTAATCCATTTTGAGATAACGCACGCATAAGGACATGCGGGGCAACGCAGATGGGTCGTGTCAAGCACGCGGGTTCTGGCTAGCCCATGAGTTATGCGTTGGATGAAGTTTTATTAGTCAACGGGCTAACTGCAAAAACAAGTAAAGTTTAAGTAAGTTTGCTCATTTAAAGTACCAGCCAACACATGACCCATTGCTGGGCAAAGGCCTCCTCTTTACAGAGGGTATCATGGCATAGTCCACCACGCGGCCCCACTGCGGATTGGCGGACTTCACATATCTTCGAAATGGGTTTTTTTGTTATTATTCCTAAAATATGCAGGTTTTCTCATAATGTATTCCTTCACCGTAGAGCACGTGATAAGACAGTAGTTAAAATTAACAAAATTAAAAAAAATTGGTGCTGGCACCGGCGATCGAATTCAGGTTGCTCGAGTGTAGTAATTAAAGGCGAGCGCCCGGATACTGAGGTATCACTGCTCATTTAGCATTTTTTTAATTAAATAATAAAGATTTTAGTGTCAACAATCAGACGATCGTTATGAGGAATTATTAATGCAGTTTTAATTTGTCATTTCTCAATGTAGGTTTTTTTCACATTTAAACATTATTAAAATTCTTTTTAGTTTCTTTTATTTACATTATAAACAATCAACAATAAGTATTTAAAACTGTAAAAGGTAAACATCATTTCAAAATTTAATGATCTTTCCTACGGAATTTCGGTGTGAGTATAAACCTTACAAATCAGCTTTTGCAAATGTTGTAAATGTTTTACAACATATGTAAAATCGATTACCACGGAATATTTTTTAAAGTTTTGAGATCACCGATCAGATAGTCACGTTAAGATTGTTTGTGGTCTTTGGTTAATATAATTTAATAATAACTAAAATAAAAATAATATCAAAAGAAATGTACTCATTCAATATAAGCTTCATAGCTTGTTTGGTGTTTAAGTATTTCTGTGAGAAAAGAAAAGAATGAAATAATCATTCCTATTATAAGGATACCAAAATGAATTCTAAAATCCATCAGGCGAATTTTTTTAAACTTCTGTTTAGAGTGACGCATCAAATACAGATTTTTAGTATAAATGATGTTTGAATGTCTCTGCAACAGACCTGATTCGTACATATGTTCTGCATATTTTTGAAATTTATTCTTGAGAGGAAATCCACGTGTCACGTATATAGTTATTACCGAGTCGTACGAAAATTTCCAAAAGTCCATTAAATGGTTTCCTTCTTCATCCACGTACTTGAATTCTCTTAATTTATAACTGTAGTCCATTTCTATAGCATATGAATCTTTTCTATAAGCTACTGTGTTCATTGCACTTTCGGTATATCGACATTCTGGACTATCGTCGCCCTGGGGCAATTTAATATTATAAGCATATTGATAAAATACTCTTACTGCTTTGCTTACGCATGGTTTGTAGGGAATAGTACTTATCTTATCAGTTTCAAATATTCGCTCCTCCTTGACGTGTCCAGTAATTAAACTATAGTAAGCTGTGCTGTAGAAACTGAAAATGAAAAATGTAAACATTGCCCATAATATTACAGTCCATTTAGGCTTTGTCTCCTGAAGTAAGCTTCGATCGGTCCGTCCATAGAAATAAGCCCAAAGTTTTAAATTTAAAATGAAGTAATCTTGATGTTTTGTTTTTTTTGAAGACGATAATTCCCTTGAGATGAATGAGAAAATGCTCATAAAAGTATATGCAAGTATAATTAATATCCACGTTTGCAATCCAAACTCGCGGTAAACCTTTTTCCAAATAGTTTCATCATTTCTTGGAGTTAATAGTATAAATTCCGCGTAATTGTAACCCCATATGTAGTCGAAGACTTCTACTCGGTTCCTGATTAATATAAATCCGCCTACTGCCATAGTCACGTTACCATTCTGTAGGCGATTCAGTAAGCCAGTTGTTGTGCGGTTGGGTAAAACCACGCCAAACATAGCTTCAGCTGATGCGTACGTATAGTCTATGGTAATCTTCTCCACACCAGCTATTGTATCCAACAAATATTGTTCTAATCCTTTAACGTATTTTCCAGAGATTGTGTAATTGCTTGATTCTAAAATTATATTTGGAATGTCTTCATTTGCTGCGACTGCGATTGAACAGTTATGTAGAGTGACTAGTTCACTGTTATTTGGAAATATTTTTTCTTTGATATTGCTAATGTTTCTGCATGATCCCAGATTTACTATTTCATCAAAACGATTCCCACAATTGTTGTTATTGAACGGGAAGTAAGTGTGTAATTCAATCTCATTATTGATCAGATGGTTTAACAAAATTACGTTGTAAATGTTTAATTTTGAAAATAGTTCAAAGATTCTATGCAAATCAATCCGTGCCACATTGTGAAATTGGAAAATAAAACGAGCCCTAGGATTCCAAAGTGTATCTTTTGCCAATTCATGCATATCTTCGTGAAATTTGTTTACGTCTGGTGCAATAATGATGTATACATTAGTTCTCAATAACCACTCTTGAAACTTAAATGACCTAACTCTAATGTTGTAGCAACCGCAGTTGTTAACAGACTTAAGTAATTCGTTAACATAAGCACGTGAAAACACCAAAGTAACGTGGTCATTGCAAGAAATATGATTCTTCAATATATCTGAAACACACTGAACATCACTTTCGGTTATATTCTCATCAGAGGTCAAAAGTAAATGCTTGTACATAACATTCTGACAGAGTATAGGATGGGCACATACAGTCAAAAAGATTAATAAGAAATCGTATAAACACTGCATAGTTATGACATGGTAGTACCACGTTAAAAAATCCTAAACACAATGAACTTCAAGTAACAGTCTCAGCATATTCAGTTAACGTGTACACATACAAACAACTTGAGTGATGGACGATGCTCTAACGATGTGTATTTATTCGTAATCGTATATTATTAGCGTGATTTATGGTAGACTGATAGTATAATGTTACCCTAAGTTTTACTTTTCCAGTTACTACGATACTAAATTGCAAATTCAATCCAGTTTCAGATGCCGCCGCATTATTTGCACATATGGCCTAGGGGCAATTTCATGCTGATAGCTCTACCGAATCAAGATCGCACATGGACGGTTACACTTTTTATGCCGTTCGCTAAATTTAGTGAAATTGATACAGAAGAAAAGCTTTTAACTTTCTTTGGAAAGTACTTTGCTGACGCAGTTACCTTAATAGGGAGAAAGAGATTGGTGGAGGATTTCTTTGCAGCATCAGCTTCATCGTTAGTTTCTGTTAAGGTAAGTTCTATTTGATCATTTAAAATATATAATTATTTATTGATTAAAATAATGAAATCCATACAAATACACCCGTATTGCGTATAATTATAGTCAATATATCTCAGTGCCCGGGCGCTCACTTTTAATGAATCCAGGTGGTGGCTCAAAGGAAATTGTTAGTTGCAATTTTAACTGCTTAAATTATGAGCGCGTTGTGAAAAAAAAATAGGATAATTTCGAAATAATGACCAAGACAAATAAGTCTACCCATTCGCAGTGAGATCGCACGGTGGACTATTCTGTGTTCTAAGGCGTTTTAAAAACATAAATTTTACGTTCAGAAACAGCCAGACCCGAAACAGTTATCTGTGGGTTACACAAATAATTGTCCCGTGTGGGATTCGAACCCACGACCCCGGGCGCTTAAGCCAATACCTTGATCACTGCGTCACGGAGTCATATACCTCTTAATGTTTCAGTGTCGACCATATAACGTTAAAGACAAAACACTCCTTATCGGCGACGCAGCACACGCTGTAGTGCCATTCTATGGTCAAGGAATGAACTCCGGTTTTGAAGACTGCACTATCCTTAACGAGCTATTTCAGAAACATAACGATGATGTTGAAAGAATCCTTTCCGAGTTCTCAAGCATGAGATGGAAAGATGTGTTTGCTATAAGTGACCTCGCTATGTACAATTATGTAGAGGTAATATAAATCTTATCTTTCTTATCCTTTAAACGAGCAATTCTTGTATATATATATATATATATATATAATCGGAATCTCGGAAACGGCTCCAGCGATTTTCATGAAATTTAATATGTGCGTAGATTCGGGGGCAAATCGATCTAGCTAGGTTTCATTTTTAGAAAATGTCCTTTTATCCCTGTTTTCAGGGAATGAAAAATATAATTCGAATATGACGGTAAATTTCGCCGCAAGAGAAAATGTCATAATAGCTCGGTCGGTAATCGGGCGGCCCCAAAACAGACGGTCGTGGTTCGCGTCACGATCATTTACATATTTATTTTTTACTTTTTTTTCGATTCCAAATCATTGCTTTCTTTATTTTTAATTTTTTGTCGATTTGTTATTTTGTTATTTTTTTAAAGTTCTTTCTTTTGTGAAAAACATCAGTTCATATTTTTTTATTATTACGTCGGTAAGATCGAAAAATATTATGCATATTTCATTACTCAGTAATTTGCATCTAAATGTAATTTCCAAAATACACGATTTACCAAAAAAAAAAAACAAACCGAGCGAAGCTCGGTCCTCCGGGTACTTAATTTTATAAGAGCTTGAGTCTTATTTTCACTTATGCGACGGCAGAGGAAAAACAGGGAAACTAGTAAAATATTGTTAGTTTCTCTGGTATGCAGGATCATTAGTACCGTAATCCATCATTGTCGTTTGAAGTGTCCATCAGACTTTATCTTGATACTGTAATGAAAAAATAAATGTGACGATAAGTCCCTATAGAAAGTCACGGAATAATATTAAAAATGCTTTTTTTCAGATGCGGGATTTGGTCACAAGACCATCGTATCTCTTTCGAAAATCAGTCGATGATTTTCTATTTTGGCTAATTCCCGAATTATGGGTTCCATTATACAATTCAGTTTCCTTCACAAATATGCCGTATAGTCAATGTGTGAGGAATCGACAAATGCAGGACAAGGTAATTGACGCTTGATACATACATTTTTTTTTTTTTAATAAACTTAAGCAAGATGACCAGCTATTTCTAATGACATTGTACTTCAGTCAAAATTTTAAATAATTTGAAAACCAACTTTTTAAACATTCCTTGTTACCCGAACATTATGCAAGACATGAAGTGTACTTATAATTAATTTGAAAAAAAAAAAATCTTTTTTTTAAAAATCAATCGTTTAACGGTATGTTCCTAAATCTGTGTTTAAATGAAAATGATTCTCGTTGTCGAAAATTAACGATTTACGAAATTTCTTATGTTTTTATTTTGTTATGTTCTAATTTGATGATTTTTTTTTCAGATTTTCAAGTTTCTCATTTCCTTTGTGGGTCTTCTGACTTTTGGTGGAATTCTGTATTTGTCTCTTACATAAATTAAAACTGTTAAACCTCACTAGTGAAAAAAAAAAGTCTTGTTATATAGTCTGATAAACTTCTCTCGATGATCATACAGTTTATTGATATAATATTTACAAGATTTAATCTATCTATAATAACATATTATCTAATAAACCTAATCCACGCGGCATGGTGCCAAGAACGCTAGCTGCATTCCCTTGTTGAATAGTTATGCTTAACCTTTGAGCGAGAAAAGAACCAGCTCTCTTGTCATCAGCCGCGGCGTTAAGCCTAGGACATAAACTAGAAAAAATTTAGATGTGCGTGAACCCCACGGACCTGAAGTTTCAACTGCAAATGGCACAAATACATAACCTAAACATGAAGACTCATATTTGCGCCATTTACTTACTTCAGCTGCCTCCGATGCCGGTTCACACAAAAATGATCTGTTTTTTATTAAATTTTATTTTATATTTTTAAATCACATTCTTAATAAAAGAAACTGGAAATAAATTCATCAATTTTGTGTAACATGAATTATGAATAACTAAAGCTCTGTATTATAATATTGTAACATACATTTTTCAATTTATTATTTATATTTCCCAATTAGGAATAACATTCATCATGCAATTGTGGCAGTCTTGTCTAGCCAGCCTGTGATGAAAACTGATATCACTCATATTGCGCAGTTCACATAACAGGTGTTTCAAAATTATTTCAAATATCGGAGACAATTGTCAAATCATTGCTTCTTCATATTGCAAATGCTTAACAATAAACAAATTACAAACGGCTGCACCAGTCTCCGAGTAGTTCATGTCTATATGTATAAAAACACTCTGATTTAGTGCGAAGGAGTATATAAAACAGAAAATTTACTTTCTTTCGCGTTTCATCTGGTGAGTGAGGAAACGGGGGCCCACAGTTTTAAAGGTTGTCAACGCGCCAGCAAGCCATCGAGTGTTGTGTGTCAAAACATGGGCGGCGGTATTCATTTAACATCAGGTGAACAGCTTTTTTATGTGAACCTGTCCGCTTGAGAACTTTCACTTAAAAAAAGCTTGCTCTCATCCGTTGGGTTTACGCGTGTAAGTACATTTGTGCAGGGCTGCACATTGCGAAGACTTATAGCTCCATACCTAGAAGAAGAAGAAGAAACGTTTATTCACGGTCTAAGCACAATGGATACATACAAAACTATACATATGATGTAACTACAGTAGTGTAAGTACCGTAAAAAATGTACGGTGGTAGGGCCACGCAGTGGCCTCGGCTGTTGCACGAATGGGCAGGCTCGTCCGGGTAAATACCACGACCTCACGGATGACCGGCGTAAAGTATAATACTTTCGCGTTTCGTCTGGTGAGTGAGGTGGCCGGAGCCCAATTTTCAAAAGGTTGTTAGCGCATCTGGAACCCTCGGGTTTAGCAGATGTCCATGGGCGGCGGTATTCACTTACCATCAGTTGAACCATCAGCTCGTTTGGCAACTTTTCACATAAAAAAATGTAAGTACAGTAGTTATAGTGCACTATTACTGGCTTTGGTCCAAGCGTTTTATTTATATGTATTATTATATATAAATTTCATTTGCCGAAAACTATAAACTTTTATTAGGTGAAATATTGAAGAAAATACATCAAAAGCTTCACAATTATTCTTCTCCTGATGGTCTTATCTCATTCTCCCGTAGGGTACGTTTCTGATGTTTCGAATAGTTGAAAGGTGTTACAGTGCCTGTTGTTACTACGTTCTTGAAGTGTTCAAAAACGTAAAACCAGTCTTTCCATTCGTTACTCTCTGAGTAAATAAAAAGTTATTGAGTGAGTAATATGTTGCGAAATAGTTAAAGCAGTAAGTACAAATTGTTAGTCGTGGTAGTAACAGACGTTCGAAACTTATCGAATAATTATAAGCTTTACGCAAACGAGGTCGATGCTATAGCGAATTTCAATGCAATTATTTTACGTGAGGATAAACAACAGAGCCCATACTCTACCTGATAACTGAACTTTCTAAAGTATTAACTCCGCAAACACAATCTCTGATATTCTGAGGTCTCTCAATTCGACCGTATATATATATATAATATATATATATATATATATATATATATATAATTTTATGTGTGTTCGAGGATAACTTCGGCATTTATGACCCGATTTTGATGAATCTTTTTTGTTGGAATGGAGATATCCCAAGGGTGATAAGAAAATCCGGATCTGATGATGGCATCCCAGAGAAATCGAGGGCAATCCTCAAATGTTATAGGCATTGACAATGTTTTATTAGTTTCCTGTTTGAAGACGGTTTTTTTTGTTGAAAACTTATTGTGGACAGATATTATTAGCTTGGCCATTTTTCTATTTTACTTTTTTTTAAGTTTCTGGTTTTTAAATAATTTAATGATAGAAACGTTGTAGTTAAGTTCATGTCAATGGTTCATTTAATTTATAGATTGTAGTATATTGATTGCGTTAAGGGTTGAATAAGACGTGGAAGATAAATTATTATCAGTTAATAATAGTTTTCTTCTCGTAATCAACTCATTTATTGTTGCATTAACATACAAAGTCGAATGTTGAAAGCCTAGGGGTGAAATAATGCGGCGGTTAAGGTTTATTAGCATATGGAATGAAGGAGATTCGATTAGTATTACTTCTAGCTCATCATATACATTTATGTAAAACGCCCCTTATTCTTTGAGTAAAATAATGAAACAATACAATGAATTATGCTAAAATAGGTTTATGTTAAAAAGTATATATTTTGAACAGGCACTTGTACTAAAGAAACATGTTTCATCCCTGTACAGGGTCAGTGGCCTATGTAGAGTTACACCGTGAGGTCTGAAACAAAAAAATAGATAAATATTAAAATATTAGGTAGTTTTTGCAACTAATTGATTTTTTTCAGATATTTTGTAATTAATTAAATTTTTGCAGACATTTTGCTGTATTTAGAGTTATGAGTAGAGTTAAAATATCAACAAATTTTATCGTACCATATTAAAATTTCGGATTCAATTTCATAAAGCCTTTAAAACACTTGATGTTTTCTTTTAAAATTAAAAGTTCGCAAGCGTGCTGAGGGTTCATCTGATGTTAAGTGATTACTGGCTCTCATGAAATCCATAAAACCGGGGGTTTTTAGATGTGTTGCCAACCTTTCATTGCGTGATACGTGATGCTAAGTGATAACTTTTGCCCATTGACATTTGCCACACCCGTAAAGTTGCAGATGCGTCGCCACATTTTAATAGTGTTGGCTCCGGCTCATTCATCTCACGTCACCCACCGGACGAAACGCAGAAGTATAATACTTCCACCTCATGCCGGTCTTCTGTGTGGTCGTGGTACTTACTTGGATGAACCTGCAAATTCGTGCTACAGCAAAGACTGTTGCATGGCCCTACTACCGTTTAAATATAATACATTATAATAATAAGGTATTTGAGGCTGTGGTGCTGCCGCGGATGAGCCTGTCCGTTTGTTTTGCGTTTACCATTATTTCAAATCATTTTCGGAAGGAAACAGTTTTTAATACATTATCAAGGTTTCTTCAGTGTCACGTAATTTCAAAATTATTTACATAACAAGACTGTTATGATATCAGAATTTGCGGATTACAACCTATTTTTTGGCTTGTAATATTACCTTTCGGTACTGTTACATTATGTGAATTTAAAAAGCGTATTAAACACTATATGTTAAATCCTTAACACAGAAATATTTACTTTCAAGAGAAACGTACCGAAAGCCTTGGCGTGTTTGACCATAAATTCTGAAGTACATAAAAATTTGTTGCGATTTTGTGAAGTACCTAAATTCTAACGTAATATTTATGCTTTAGTTAACGATAGATAGGTTATAGTAAGTCGCCTATACACCTGGGTCGTGAGGTCTATGGCCCTGTACAGTGCTTCCGTTTGGGCCGACACCCTGAATTGTCAGACCATGGTGCTTCTGCGCAGACCGTAGAGGGTGTTGGCTATACGGGCCATACGGGGCTACCGGACGATATCCGGTGAGGCGGCGTGCACGCTGGTAGGTTCCCTTCCCTTGGACCTAGAAGCCAGTATCCTCAAGTCACTCTACTTTTGGCGCTAGGAGGCGATAGCCCGGGGCCACCTGCCAGTCTTAGAGGTGTTGAAGGGGTGCAGACTAAGATGCGCTCACTCGCTATTGCCGAGTGGAAGCAGAGGCTGGAGCACCCCAGTGCCGGCCTTAGAACCATAGAGACCATACGACCGGTACTCAGTCGGTGGCCGGACTGGAGTCACGGCACCATCACCTACCGGGCGACGCGGGTTCTTTCGGGACGTGGCTGTTTCGGGAACCTGTGTCGCTTGGCGGGGAGGGAGCCAACAGCGATTTGCCACCATTGCGACGTATGTGTGCACTATGTGCATTGGAGGAGAGCGCAGCCTGGCGGGAGCAGCGCCGAGAGTTGAGAGCTGTCATGGGGCACGATCTCTCGCTACCTGCCGTGGTTCGCGCTATGGTGGACAGCGAGAGGTCGTGGGGTAATCAACTGGAAGGAGGCCGCGGAGAGGGAAAGAGAGGCAACTGCCACCCTGGAAGTCCGCCGATGGAGACCGAGGCCCGGGAGGCTGGCCTACGCACGCAACCTTCCCCCCTGATAGCAAGCCCCGGGGCGGCAGATGTGGGACTAACTGCTGCTCCGCGGGGGGCTTGAGAGGAATGCCGTATTACACCGACACGGCACCATTTGGCTGGACCGGGTGACAGCGCGGGTATAACGTGGGTTTTTTAGTCGGTACCCCGTAACTCCCACATAACCCACAAGGCGGCGGGAGATCCATAAAGGATTTTTTCCACGAAAAAAAGTTAAAAAAAAGATAGGTTATAGTGAATAAATGTAGTAAAGTATTATAATTTATCAGGAATGTGAAAAATAGTTTTTTAAATGCGAATGCTGGGTAATTTTTTTTATTTTCAAGTTCAAAATGGGTGTGAAAATCATTTAATGTGGTCGTTACAATTGCGTAACAAGCATATATCAAA